ATCTTTGATTTTAGCCTGGGAGGAGCATTGACTGGGCTTGGAGGACTGAAGAGAACCTTGGAAGCAAGCTGGAGGGCAAAAATTAAAATAAGAAAGTACATTGGGCTCTGACTCTGCTGAAGAACGGCATTATTTTCATTCTGAATCCTGAAACTATAAGGCCTAGTTCACACAAAAGGAAGTTGAGGAAATAAATCTGTTTCTGGACTGAACAGCTACAGACTGCAGTAGGGGTAAAATGAGATGGCTGAATGCTTTTCCATTCAATTCCCTGTGCAGAGAAAAGGTACAATTCTTTGGCATGTTTGGGTGAACAGTTCTAAACCAGGTTTCTACAACATGCTAGATTGTTCTGCATGCAGCAATTTGCTTTTCTTCATTAGTGTTCACCCATCCAGTCATCCACCAGTGACCTGATATGGAACAGTCCAGAAAGAGAAGCATCTCACACAAAAAGTGTTAATGACTGTACAGGGGGATGGCCAATTGCAATTTTTATGACATCCATATTGACCCATCAAAATAAAACCAGAGAAAACACTAGGTCACTTCCACTTTTGTTTTCGGCTAAATATCTGGTGGTTTTGCAGCACTAAGTGTTTGGTGGTTTGCTTTGGGGAAGCTGGGAAACAACCATCATGTTTTGTAGTGGTTCCAAGTATCTTTGTTGTTGCTGCTGTGTGCGTTCCAGTCATTTCTGTCTTACGGTGACCCTAAAGTGGACCTTTCATGGGGTTTTCTTGGCAAGATTTCTTCAGAGGAGGTTTGCCATTGCCTTCCTCTGCGGCTGAGAGGGTGTGATTTGCCCAAAGTTCATCTAGTGGATTTCATGGCTGAGCTGGGAATCAAACCCTGGTCTCCAGAGTCACAGTCCAACACTGAAACCACTATGCCATGCTGGCTCTAATAAAAAAAAAACACCCTAACATTTTAAAAATTTAAATTGAATTAGGGTGTGGGTTTGGGAATTTCAAGGATTGTAAAAGCGTTCTGAATGTTGGATTATGACTCTGGAGGCAAGGGTTTGATTCCCCACTCAACCATGAAACCTACTGGATGACTTTGGGCAAGCCACATGCTCTCAACTTCAGGGAAAGGCAATGGCAAACCTCCTCTGTACAAATTTTGCCAAGAAAGCATGACAGGGTCATCTTAGGGTTGCCATAGGTCAGAAACAACCTGAAAGCACACAACAACAACAAAAGTGAGCTTAGGGCCATATATGGTCTGCAAGCTGCACTTTTCCTACCCTTGCATTAGTGGTTCACAAGAATAAGCTTGAGGGGCACTTCCAAAGTCAGACAGGAAACAAAGGATTGCATCCCACCTTAGAGAGGTCACTTTGGCAGGGCTGGATGCCTGAAAACATGGTTTCATTTAACTGCCCCAAAGCGTTTATCCAAACTCTCAAGACAGCCTGAAAATGTGTAGTGGTATTTCTGGAGCCAAAGCAGCATAAATAACAGAGATAAACTCTGAAGGGGATTAAGAGTGTGCACTCCTGGACATGAACACATGAAGGTAAGGGGTAAGAGGAAAAAAACAGACACTGCTAATCAGAGGCATTTGGATTTCCAGGTTAGCTACCTCTGATATGTATCCCTGCCATTTTTCCAATATAACTCTGGTCACTCTTCAAAATGACTCCAAATTTTTCCAAAACAGCAATAAAAACAAACTACCCTAGCACCACAAAACTGCAATTGCAACAATGAACTGTAAAACCAGCAAACAGAAATGTGGTTAGTCCACATCAAGTATTCCAGCTGGATGTTCCCAGCAGGTGGCTTTTTCAGTGAATTCTCACACAATACAAGATTCATAAGATCAGCACCACACGATCTGGGGGGGTGAAGAAGAGTTATGTTCCTACACAGGCACAGATCCCAAAGACTGGGGATTTCTGTGGACACGCTGGTGTCGGAGAAGGGTTGAATTGTCCCTGTAGCTTTTCCCACAGTCATTGCACTGGAAAGGGCGCTCACCTGTGTGGATGCGCTGATGGCGCAGCAATTTGGAACGGTGTCTGAAGCTTTTGGGGCAATCAGGGCATGGATGGGACTGCTCAGAGGTATGGGAGAGCTGGAGCTGGGCCAGCAGGCTGGGCAAGGTGAAGGAATTGCAGCACTCCTGACCCCCATGGGGATGCTCCATGGCATGGATTTGCTGGTTTCGGGAGAGGCTGGAGTAGCGGGTCTGTCTACAGTCAGAGCACTG